AGGGCTCTCTTACAGGAAGTGTTTATGGAAGGCTGTGCAAGTCACATGCAGGGAGGTGTGACTAGGGTTCATAAACAAAGGGATTTAACTCCTAAATGGCAGAGGATTGAGCAGTGAGGCTGCAGGGGCATGTTCTATACACAAAACTGCTTCATTAAGCTAAAGTTGTTCAGGTGACTATAGTGTCCCTTTAAACCTAATGGAAGCTTGAGTATTTGTTTAGTTTTTTTCCCCTCGTTCTTTTCTTTTAGCAGCTTACTATTTCCACTAACAGACTCACCACAATTTATAAGAAGATCCAGCTAATTTCCCCTTTTTATTCTAGCTGATTCACAGTTTACGGGAGACATAACTAAGATGGTTTAGTAATGCCAAGAGATGTATTGGAATCCTCTTGTGCTTTAAACCATCTCGGCAGGAGCCAGGAAAGCAGCTCATCCAGTAGGAATCCAGTCAGTTCGTTTTATTTTATCATCGCCCTGGTTAGTCCATCACGCCACGTCTGCCTGCCACAGTGACTCTCTATAGAGCGCGACTTTTCATTTAAACTGTGATCGGACGGGTGCGCACATTTTCTGCCTGGCTTGTTGATAGCAGGAGATTAATTTGCTGAATAGATTTTAGTCACTGTAAATGGTGGCGATTTACACGAATGGCCTCTATCGTTACTGCAAACTAAAAAGAAATGGAAGGAAAAAGATTTTTTGGGTGAAGATTGGCTTATTAATGTTTTGGCAATTTTAGTACGTGTGTGTTCCACAGTTTGCACCTTCTAGTTAGGGGTGCATGTGCTTTTTATTGGTTTTTAAATCAAAGAGAGGGAATTCTTCTGATACTTGGAATCACACAGCACTATGTATTAATGACAGTTTTGCTTGTGATTTCTATTCCACAGGAGAAAAATTCTACCATTTGTTGCATGTTGTGAAAATGAAAATCCTGGCTTACATTGGCTGCAGAACCTGTAAACCATCCCCTGCCTTTCCTGTCTATACCTGACATTGTCCAATCAGAGAATTCTCATTGAAAAAGCCTTGCAGACAAATGGCACATGCGCACAACTGTCCAATTTTGGATGTTTCATTACATGTCATTACATCATCTTGAGAAGCGTGTGCAAATGTTGATCTGCCGCGCTTGCTAAACGTTTCTGCCAATCTGTCAGCCTGCACACACACTCCGCAGACAGATCTTATTGTTGGCATGCTGTCGACAAATTCCCTGATCTCTCTCTGCCCACCTTGACTCGTGTTTCTGACTGCCTCTCTGCTATTTCCAACTGGATGGCTGCTCACTTCCTTAAACTCAACCTGTCCAAAACAGAACTTCTGGTTTTTCCTCCCTCAAGTGCTGCTACTCCTGTGTCTGTCTCCATCCAAGTCAACGGCGCTACTATCACCTCTACCTCGCAGGCTCACTGCCTAGGGGTTCTTTTTGATTCTGATCTCTTTTACTCCCCATGTTCAATCGATAGCCAAATCCTGTCACTTCCAACTCAAGAACATAGCGCGCATCTGCATATATCTAACGCCGGACGCGGCTAAGGTACTGGTTCATGCTGTTGTTCTCTCTCGCCTTGACTATTGCAATCCCATTCTCACCGGTCTTACATGTTCCCAGCTTGCACCGCTGCAATCTATAATGAATACGGCTGCGAGGCTTATTTTCCTGTCCGGTCGCATCTCCCACGCCTCAACGCTCTCAGTCCCTGCATTGGCTTCCAGTTAGATATAGGGCCCAATTCAAAATTCTGGCGCTTGCTTACAAATCCCTACATAATGCTGCTCCAACATACCTATCCTCCCTCATACACAAGTATGTCCCGACGAGACCCCTGTGCTCAGCCCAAGACCTACTCCTATCCTCTGCCCGGATCCCCACCTCTGATGCTCGCCTTCAAGACTTCTCTAGGGCTGCACCTATTCTGTGGAACTCCCTTCCCTCCTCAATCAGACTTTCACCCAGCCTCCATTCCTTCAAAATTTTTTTGAAAACTCACTTCTTCATTAAAGCGTATCAATTAAACTGTCAGCAGGTTTCTCATCCCCCACCCCATGACTCCGTTCCTTCACCTGTCAAAAATGACCTACCAAGCACTCAATAACCCCTTCTGTAACAAACTATTTAATTCCCCTACTTTAACCCTTTGTGTCACTATACCCCACTCCCTCTAGCATGTAAGCTCATCGAGCAGGGTCCTCAATCCCTCTGTTACTGTGTCACTATACCCCACTCCCTCGAACATGTAAACTCACTGAGCAGGACCCTCAATCCCTCTGTTACTGTGTCACTATACCCCACTCCCCCTAACATGTAACCTCACTGAGCAGGGCCCCCAATCCCTCTGTTACTGTGTCACTATACCCCACTCCCTCTAACATGTAAACTCACTGAGCAGGGCCCTCAATCCCTCTGTTACTGTGTCACTATACCCAACTCCCTCTAACATGCAAACTCACTGAGCAGGGCCCTCAATCCCTCTGTTACTGTGTCACTATACCCCACTCCCTCTAACATGTACTGAGCAGGCCCTCAATCCCTCTGTTACTGTGTCACTATACCCCACTCCCTCTAACATGTAAACTCACTGAGCAGGGCCTCAATCCCTCTGTTACTGTGTCACTATACCCCCACTCCCTCTAACATGTAACCTCACTGAGCAGGGCCCTCGATCCCTCTGTTACTGTGTCACTATATCCCACTCCCTCTAACATGTAACCTCACTGAGCAGGGCCCTCGATCCCTCTGTTACTGTGTCACTATACCCCACTCCCTCTAACATGTAAACTCACTGAGCAGGCCCTCAATCCACTCTGTTACTGTGTCACTATACCCCACTCCCTCTAACATGTAAACTCACTGAGCAGGCCCTCAATCCCTCTGTTACTGTGTCACTATACCCCCCTCCCTCTAACATGTAAACTCACTGAGCAGGGCCCTCAATCCCTCTGTTACTGTGTCACTATACCCCACTCCCTCTAGCATGTAAGCTCATCGAGCAGGGCCCTCAACCCCCTCTGATCCTGTACGTCAGTGGTCTGATCTCAATTATGTGTCTGTTAGTCCACCCATTGTACAGCGCTACGGAATTTGTTGGCGCTATATGAATAATAAAATAATAATTAGCATAGGTTTCAGCCTCACTTCCTTTATAACCTGTGGCAAAGGTGATATAAAAGTGTTGATTTCTCTCGCACCTGCAGGGATAAGCACTTTAACCGTGAACTAACTGGTATCCCTTTAAGAAATACCTCAAAATAGATTTATCCATAGTCTTTACTTTCCGGGACTTAATATTTTAATATAATCCAGAAATTATTGGATACAGATCAATACATAAAAATTACAAACAATATTGCGACACTGTATGTAAGTATAAACAGTGCCCCTACTCAGTATGGAATGATACAGCGCCTTGAAGTTGCCTTCCATTGTGAGGGGGTTCAGGATCCTCTGTCTGGTAATAGCACTCCGGATCAGAATAAGGAACCAGGTTGGTAGGTATAAACGGGTTTATTTGAAGCCTCAAATCGATTAAAAAAAATATATAAAAGCAATGATAGATCAGCGGTTCGACGCATTTTCGTTTCCATAGAAACTTCCCCAGGGACCAATATTTATATACACTGCTCAAAAAAATAAAGGGAACACTTAAACAACACAATGTAACTCCAAGTCAATCACACTTCTGTGAAATCAAACTGTCCATTTAGTTAGCAACACTGAGTGACAATCAATTTCACATGCTGTTGTGCAAATGGGATAGACAACGGGTGGAAATTATAGGCAATTAGCAAGACACCCCAATAAATAAGTGGTTCTGCAGGTGGTGACCACACACCACTTCTCAGTTCCTATGCTTCCTGGCTGATGTTTTGGTCACTTTTGAATGCTGGCGGTGCTTTCACTCTAGTGGTAGCATGAGACGGAGTCTACAACCCACACAAGTGGCTCAGGTAGTGTACCTCATCCAGGATGGCACATCAATGCGAGCTGTGGCAAGAAGGTTTGCTGTGTCTGTCAGCATAGTGTCCAGAGCATGGAGGCGCTACCAGGAGCCAGGCCAGTACATCAGGAGACGTGGAGGAGGCCGTAGGAGGGCAACAACCCAGCAGCAGGACCGCTACCTTCGCCTTTGTGCAAGGAGGAACAGGAGGAGCACTGCCAGAGACCTGCAAAATGACCTCCAGCAGGCCACAAATGTGCATGTGTCCGCTCAAACGGTCAGAAACAGACTCCATGAGGGTGGTATGAGGGCCCGACGTCCGCAGGTGGGGGTTGTGGTAACAGCCCAACACCATGCAGGACGTTTGGCATTTGCCAGAGCACAGGGCGCCAGTGGCGAATTTGCCAATCTTGGTATTATTATTATTATGTTATTTATAGAGTGCCGTCAAATTCCACAGTGCTTTACAATGGGTGGACGAACAGACATGTAGTTGTAACCAGACAAGTTGGACATGCTAGAGGGAGTGGGGTAAAATGACACAAAAAGGTAAGGATAGTATTAGACTAGTGACAGTTGCAGAAGAGGAATCAGTCAGGAGCTATTAACAGTTTAATTGATACGCTTTTATGAAGAAGTGGAGATAGACGTAAGTCTTCAGCAGATCGTAAGGGCCTAGACGGGACATACTTGTATATAAGGGAGGATAGATTGGTGGGAGCAGCATTATGTAGAGATTTGAAAGCAAGAACCAGAATTTTAAATTGAGCTCTATATTTTATAGGAAGCCAATGTAGGAACTGACAGAAGGGTGAGGCATGGGAGGTGCGGGCGGACAGGAAGATGAGCCTCGCCGCCGCATTCATTATGGACTGTAACGGCGCAGGTTGGGAGCACGTAAGACCACTGAGAAGCAGATTACAGTAGTCACGGCGAGAAAGGACAGTGGAATGGACCAACACCGTAGTCACATCTGGCGTTAAGTAGGGGCGGATGCGCACAATGTTTTTGAGATGGAAATGACAGGATTTGGCGATAGATTGAACATGAGCCATGAAGGAGAGGTCGGAGTCAAAGAGAACACCTAGGCAGCGAATCTGTGTGGTGGAGCTGATGGTAGCACCGTTGACTTGGAGGGAGACAGACACAGGAGTAACAACACTTGAGGGAGGAAAGACCAGAATTTCAGTTTTGGTCAAGTTTAGTTTAAGGAAGTGGGCAGCCATCCAGTTAGAAACAGCAGAGAGGCAGTCAGAGACACTAGTCGGGGAGGGACGGGGAGAGATCAGGAGAGGACAGGTAGATTTGCGTGTCATCTGCATAGAAATGATATTGAAAGCTAAAGGAGCTAATGAGTTTACCAAGGGAGGCAGTATAGATTGAGAACAGTAGGGGACCAAGGACTGAGCCTTGGGGGACACCAACAGAGAGGAGATGGGGAGAAGAAGTAGGGCCAGAGAAAGAAACACTGAAAGAGCGCTGGGAGAGGTAGGAGGAGCACTATCCTTACCTTTTTGTGTCATTTTACCCCACTCCCTCTAGCATGTAAGCTCAATGAGCAAGGCCCTCAACCCCTCTGTTCCTGTGTGTCCAACTTGTCTGGTTACAACTACATGTCTGTTCGTCCACCCATTGTAAAGCGCTGCGGAATTTGAAGGCGCTCTATAAATATCATAATAATAATACCAAGATTGGCAAATTCGCCACTGGCGCCCTGTGCTCTTCACAGATGAAAGCAGGTTCACACTGAGCACATGTGACAGACGTGACAGTCTGGAGACGCTGTGGAGAACGTTCTGCTGCCTGCAACATCCTCCAGCATGACCGGTTTGGCAGTGGGTCAGTAATGGTGTGGGGTGGCATTTCTTTGGGGGGCCGCACAGCCCTCCATGTGCTCGCCAGAGGTAGCCTGACTGCCATTAGGTACCAAGATGAGATCCTCAGACCCCTTGTGAGACCATATGCTGGTGCGGTTGGCCCTGGGTTCCTCCTAATGCAAGACACAATGCTAGACCTCATGTGGCTGGAGTGTGTCAGCAGTTCCTCCAAGACGAAGGCATTGATGCTATGGACTGGCCCACCCGTTTCCCAGACCTGAATCCAATTGAGCACATCTTGGACATCATGTCGCGCTCCATCCACCAATGTCACGTTGCACCACAGACTGTCCAGGAGTTAGCAGATGCTTTAGTCCAGGTCTGGGAGGAGATCCCTCAGGAGACCATTCACCACCTCATCAGTATTTCAGAATAATATTTAATTCATTCAGATCTAGGATGTGTTATTTTTGTGTTCCCTTTATTTTTTTGAGCAGTGTAGTTACAATGATAAAAACATGATCAGTAACAATAAGTTGTCGTACCCATTCCCTTAAATAGGTTCTTCCTGATGTCCTCCGATGTGTACGGGGGAGTTCCTATCCCCTCTGCCAATTGGTTTTCTCCAATACTTATATTGGCAGCTGTCGTTAATGATTCAGTTGGCGCCGTGTAATTCTGTTTTCACATTCAATTTGGCTTGCATTCCACCGCCTATTTCCGTGCGTTCCAAATTTTGAATGAAGCTTTATTGTTCATATTGTCCCAAATACATAAATAAAAAATAAAAAAACATTCGTTTGCCTCCCTTTGCTCTAATGAAAACAAAATTGTCTTGATTATAAAAGAGCACTTGGTATAAACATAGCATAAATGAGATAATTTGCAATAGATATAAGCTTATTCATTTTCAAATGCTCATATACGGTTATGTGGATTACCCCATGTGACAAGCCAAAAAATCACTAACTATCAAATTGTCAACTGACAAAAATTATAAAAGATTATGCAAAA